GGCTAGGGCTGAGTCACGGAAGGTCATGGCCAGACAGTCGCCCACAAGAAGGGGAGGCCCAGCTGCCATCACCAGTGCTCTCATGACGAGAAAATTCACTTTTGTCTGTGAAGGCCAGATCTAACAAGTCCCAGAAATCTAGAGGGAAAAACAGACCCAGCGCCCAGGGTTTAGGCAGATGGGGGCTTCTCTTCAGGGCAGCTCTCCTCTTTGTCTGACAAATTCTTCTTCTTCTTCTTCTTCTTCAGGACAAATCTCTGGAAAAGAGCAAGACAAGGAACTGCTGAGAAGCATGAAAGCAATAGCTACACTCTGCTGTGGTTATTTCAGATGCAGTCTAGGGCGGTGTGGGCTCTTCAGAGGGTCACTGCCTCAGCCCTTCCAACATAGACACAAACAGAACACGAACTCCATAGTGTCACCAGCATAACGCAATTTCACCCTTTGCCACAGGCTCTGCTTTCTTTCAGGGAAAAAAAGAGCAGAGCTGCTTATCACTTAGGAGTGCAGTATGTAGAGCCCTTCTTACCTCCAGCTCTTGCATCACCTCGATGAGATCTCCTGAGTTCTGTTTGTAAGCAACTGGTGATTTGATGGCATCACTGAAGAGCTGATGAGAAGGAGGAATGCTTGTCACTCAAAGTAAGGGGCACTGGGTTTCTGTAACATATGGAAACTGTTCCCACACCCCAAGAAAAAAAACAAACCTCTGCAACTACCAGGACCTCACAAGTAGGCAAACAAAAGTGCTAGCCCATTTTCTGCTCTCTGTGCTTACAGCAGTCTCCATGTCCTTGGCTGCATAGGAGTCTCACAGATGCTGAGCCAAATAGCTGTGTTTTACCTTCACTCCATTGGTGCCATCTGCAGCAGACACAAAGTAAAAGGGAAAACTGAATGTCTGGACAAAATTGAAGCTTTTCTGGGTCACCTTCATATCTGCTGGGTGCAAAAAAAAGAAGTGGTCAGTAAGACATCACTGTAGGCAGAATGCCAATATATGCAGGAGTAGTGGAATAGATGGAGACCAGAGCCCAATTTAGCTTGAAAAAGACCTTTAAGATCAAGTCCAACCATAAAAAATCATAGAATCACAGAATCATTCAGGTTGGAAAAGACCCCTGGGATCATCGAGTCCAACCCTCAGCCCGACTCTACAAAGTTCTCCCCTACACCACATCCCCCCACAGCTCATCCAAACGACCCTTAAACACACCCAGGGATGGGGACTCCACCCCTCCCTGGGCAGCCTGTTCCACTCTCTGACCACTCTTTCTGGGAAATTTTTTTCCTAATGTCCAGTCAGACCCTCCCCTGTTGCAATTTAAAGCCATTCCCCCTTGCTCTGTCAGTAATTCCCTGTGAGAAGAGCCCAGCACCAACCTCTCTGCAATGTCCTTTCAGGGAGCTGCAGAGAGTGATGAGGTCTCCCCTCAGCCTCCTCCTCCTCACACTGAACAGCCCCAGCGCCTTCAATGGCTCCTCATAGGATTTATTCTCTTTAGCTCTGTTCCACGCTGATGGGGTCAGTCATCGTGGACTTTATTCGGGTATGGACGAGTGCCCGAGCATGTCTGAAGAGGACAGCAAGCGAGTCCTAGCAACATGTGCCCATGGCCTTTCTGCCTGTGGTGTCTGCAGGAACTTCAGTACTCTGATTTTCACCGGGTGGGTGCTCCTCTGCAGACACTGTGGGCAGGGTTTTTTTTTAAATGTGTGATGTTGTGAGAAAACACTGGACCATCTGCAGCCAATTTTTAAGGAGCTAATGAAAGCAAAGCAGAAAAGAAAACTTACTGTCACTATATTTATAAGGCAGCCTCGCCCCTCATTAAAAAAAAAAAAATCTAAAGAGCACATTTCAGTCTGAAAAATTGCCAAAAGCTATTAAGGATCTACTGTGTTGTTTGACTCAAATCTGAGTTGATGGTCAAATTGCCTCTGATTTTAAGGATATTATCGCTTTTCTTATTTTCAGATAGATTAAAAAAATATTCCCTATACAAAGTTCTCATGATGCAATTTACTCCACCTTCCAGGAACTGATATACAGTAAATACAAAGTGAGTAATCCAAGCTCCAGAATCAAAAATGCAAAAGTAAATTGGAATTTGTACAAGATATAATCATTGTTCCTGGTCTCAGACAAGTATGTGTGTGTGTGTGTGTGTGTATATATATATATATATATTGACATTAAAGGTCGAGTTCTCAAGGTTTACAGCATTCATAGAGAAAAAAAAAAACAGCCTGCCCTTGAGCTAAGGTGTCTGTGGGGGCAGGCATTGCTGCTGCAGACAGGTCCTGCGATGTTTGCTTCTGGTTCTGACCCAGCCTGTCTTAGTGCGCTGGGATCCAGCATCTTGTTTACTACACTCCTCTCTCTTGCTTGCTTTGTACAGAGCTAACAGTAGCTATCATCTTGACATACAAAACTTTGTAAAGAGAAGTTGTTTGGGTGTGTGTAGAGCTTTTTATGTTGAAAGCGGTTACATGAGCTGTAAATCACACCTCTTGCCACCCTGCCATAGCATCCTAACTGGTGTTCAACTACAATTGAAACACACCAACCTGGATATGATTTCTTTGATTTTTATTTACTTGGGTACTCTTGTGGGGAATCATAAAAAGCGCAGATGATGTACAACCAAAAATATGTAGGGATTTTTGAAGTATCAGTATGCCAAAAAGGAGTCTAAAAAAATGGAAGATTGCCAAAATCTGGTATAAATCACTTTAATTAAAATCTTCAGCTACATAAGTCACAAGCACTGGAATAAACAAAACTCTTAGAAAAGTTCTAAAAAGAAGCTACCAGGCAGACAATAACTTTGATGTCTTAATTGTAACATATTATTATAGCAACAATATATATTAACTTTAGGTTGACTGTATGTAAGTCTTTCCACTCCATTTTACACTCTCTTCTTTTACTGAACTTTGTGGAGATGAATTCCCATGCAGGCCACTGGAGACAAGACCAGAGACAATCAATATGATTGGAAGTCAAGCTCAAACTTTATTAGCAAGGAAGCCTTTATATATTCTTGTGCATCCTAAAAATAGCAGCAAGCCCTTATACACTTGTTGTTACCTTGCATTACTCCTTCACATGCTTATTTCAAAAAACAGCTCCCCTTGATACTTTCCACAAACATTGCTACCCGCACACAGCCAGTAGATAAGTTCCTGCTTCTGCAATTCCAGAGTCCCTTCTTTATTAGTTTCTTCCTTAACAAGCACGTTCTTTTCTTCTGGCCTTCTCGCTTTTAGACGTCGTTAATCTTCTGACCCGAATGCTGGTTGTACTTTTCCATTGTCAGCATGTGCAGAAAGTTCAGCAACCCGGCATACGCACCCACAACTCGCCCCCTTTCTTTTTATTAAAGCCTCCATACTATTTTCCACACAAGACAGACAACATCTCATCAAAACAGGAAGACAACATATCATATTATTAGTGGTTCTGCTAACATTCTCAAAAGCTCTATAATCCACTTTGGCCACCCTAGACTTCCTAAAAACTCATCCAAAGGAGAAGAAACTTGCTGAATCTTCTGCATATTGTCTTGCAATTGCTGAAGCTGACTAAATATAGAATGAGAGTGATCAGAAAGATTCATACAACACATACCCTCAAATTCTTCACATCCATGTCCTTGTACCAGTAACAAAAATCCATAGCCACTCTGCAAAACAGCATGCCTTAAACTATCTACATCCATCAACAAATTACTTATTATATTAGATGTTAAATTATACTGATTTATACTCCAACAGGCCATTTTGTTCAAGGTGGATAGAGATTTTGCAACCCCTACTCCTGGGGCTAAGAGAGATGCAGTGACAATCTCTCCAGGCCCCCACAATTCCACTTGATCTCAGCAATCTGGAGTGAGTTCATGATGTACTATGGCTCGTTTTGATCTTTGATGTTTTGTGAGATTAAGATTTTTTTATACTAGGGGCAAACAGAGTCAGCCTTCCCAGATAGCACGGACCTCCAACTACTTTGGCAGGGATCCCTCCCTACGCTCGATCCCCACATATTAAAAAATACCCAGGTGATAACCATTTAGCCAAATCATTATTCCATATTCCTCCTTCTTCAAGATGTAAATCCATCATATACGTGTCACCACAAAACCAAGTGTCATTTATTGGTACTGCTGAAGGGGTCACGTTTTGCCACCCCACCCAGACTGTTTATACCAACCATGATGGCTAGTCAGATTGGCTTTTGTCCACCAAACTGTATACATCCCCAGGCCTGATCTTGCATGTCATCCGTATCATGATATATAACAGCCTGGGGGACCTGCATTCTAACAGGGCTCAAAGCCTTTGCAACAAACCACCGACACAATGTGGAACTTTTTAATGCCTTATGGTAAAACAACCCAGTGGTACCATCTTGCAGGTTCACTAACATTAATCCTGGGAACAGAGGAGGCAAATTTAGGTGCATCATCTGTATGCAAAGGAATGGTAAAAAAAAAAAAAAAATTCTTTAGATCAATTATTACAAGATGCCGGTTTCGGGGAATCATTGTTGGGGAGGGCATTCCTGGCTGTAAAGTACCCATATCCTCCATGGCATCATTAATGTGTCAGAGATCATGTAAAAGTCACCATTTACCACTTTTCTTTAAAATAACGAACACCGGGGAGTTCTAAGGATGGGTGGTAGGTACGATATGTCCTGCACGTAATTGTTCCTGAACTAAATCATTGAGGTGGCACAACTTTTCCCTTGGCAAGAGCCACTGACCCACCCAAACAAGTGATTTCATTTTCCAGGTTAGTTTCAGGGTGGGTTTCAGGGTCGGTTGTGCTTCAGTGGTGATTAAGACAAATTCGATCCAATTTGAGTTCCCTACTGAGCCATACAGTCACGACCCCAAAATGTAATAGGGGTTTCCAATAGAAATGGATGAATATTTGCTACC